AATAATAAATAAATTCATATTTACTATATCCATATTAAATTCATTTTACAACGAAATCATAATTAATTTGCTGTAATTGTGTTACAACGCGGCTAGTAGTTTTGGTATAGATTTGTTGAAACAAGGTTGGACTGTATATAGTATTAATCCAATACTTTAATTCATGAATTGAGATTGGTTAGCCTTTGGCATTTTAATTGTTAATATTAATATCATCAAATTTATTATTAAATAAATTCATATTTACAAGTTTTAGTTCTAACCAACTCTTTATACACAATATTATTTATTGCTCATAAAAACCTTGATCATTTTTCACACCATAATAAAGTTTATATAAAATGTTCAGTTTTCACAAGTATACTCTTCTAATCATAGAATGTATATTAAATTAATATATCATTTTTTCATATCGCATTAATATTAATATAATAATAATAAATCAATTATTTATTTGTTTAAAATAAATGATAGTATAAAAGACATACATCTTAGTATTAGGAAGTAAAATGAACATAATTCTATAAATATTTAAATATAATATTTAGACATTTAATTTACCTTGGACATGCTAACAAATTTCTACATATACGAATATAAAATAAAATTTGACTTTAAGGCTGAGATTATTTTCAGTTTTATTGACAACTTGCTTTAAATTTTTTTTTAAAGCAGATACATATGACAAAGAAGTTATATATCAAATTTGGTGGCAATTGCTACACAGCAAGGGTATCAAACGAGGGTATGAAGACATTCAATTCGAAATTTTATTAATAAAAAATTGTGTAGATCACCGGAAATTTTTCGGAAAATAAACTTGCCCCTTGATTTTAGGACATGTCACACGACTACACATGATTTGATCATAAGTTTCGATTTAGCGGATCTCTCGATTTAACGGATAAATTTTCTGGAAAAAAATATCCGTTAAATCGAGACTCACTGTGTATTATAAATTACAAAGATTGTAAAATAACAAAAATTTTTGAATCTTTATTTGTTATGAAATTACGAGATGAAAGAAAATAGTGAATAAAGAACAAATTACAAAGATTAAAAATTTATTGTTTACAAAATTCGGATGAATTTTATACATTGGTCACATGGGAGAGAGTTTTCATATGAGCGGACCGAAAAAATACTGTGCAGTGCAGAGTATGGAGGGTGTGCATTTACCACTAAGTCCTGAGGTCGGGACCAAGACATAGCGTGCATTTATGGAGGGTGTGCATTTATGGAGGGTGTGCATTTATGGAGGGTGTGCATTTATGGAGGGTTCACTTATGGAGGTCTGACTGTAGTGTAAATTTTATGATTCCTGGACATACCAAATTTCATTGTGATGGTTTCTTTGGGAATATTAAAAAAAAATATAAATATACTTCTATTAACACAATCAATGATATTGAAACTATGGTCAATACTTCAGCAGTAGGAAATTCTGCTTTGCTATTTAAAAAAGAAACTGAGTGGAAATGGTATGATTTTCAATCATTTTTTGATGGAAAATTTTCCAAATTAGCAAATATTAAAAAATACCACCATTTTAGATTTAGTAGAACACTTGAAGAAGAAATAGGAAAAGTATATGTGTCAGTAATGGCTGGTGGTGAGGAAACTTGCATTAAACTTTTAAAATCAGAGATTATTTTTGATCCAAATAAACAGCTTAGCATTATATCTAAGGATGGTATATAACATGTTATAAAAGATTTGAGTGGTATATACCCCTACTAAAAAATTACACATGAAATTGATTGTGGTATATACCATTAATATGCAATAAGATAACAATTTTGGTTTGAATATTTATTTATAATAAGAAATGCTAATTGTA